AGACTACCATTCCATCGAAGAAGCTGATCATTTGGGACAAAACGGTTGGATTCGAAATTAGCAAGAAGTCAGATAAAATAGCAGTGACTCTCAAGGTGAGCTGGGCCATAGTTGCTCGAAGATTGAGGTCAACCGACAAGATGCGAAATTCCCGTCGGTGGACACTCATATTCCTCATGATATGAGCCGCCCCACTGGTGAGACGGGCAATAGGAACGGTTTTCTGTAACCGATTCGCCGAACGCGGTTGTCGCGTACCATTCGTTCACCGTTATTACAGCTCTAGTGTTCTTCAAACAGCTCAATCGATACGCGATCATTATTTTAGGCATGATTTTTGTTCCTGTATTTCTTATTTGCTGCTGCGTTCTGCTATACTCAGTGTGCGTAGTCCCTCTCGCCGCGACGCGACAATTTCGTTCCTACTGCACCACACCCGCCTCACCGACATGGTACCTTCTCTTCTCTTATTCTGGCGATTCACAGTTGCTCGAGCATCTGGCCAGGTAGGGATTCAGAAAGTGTGCATAATCTGTACATAACAAAATATGTTGTGCATACAGCAGAGCGGTCATGGCTTCGAATACCGGGAGTAGCCAATGAAAGATGTGCAACAACGACAGACGTTTACATTGAGGGAGTGGTGAAGTTTGAAGCCAAACTCGAGAAAGCACCCTCGTAACGGCACGAAGTCTACTCCTACCAAGACAACACTAAAACATACTTGTGAAACTGATCAAGACTGGATGATTATGCTTTGCTTTGCTATCTTGTCACACCTTTCGAGCTTCCATGTCTTAGCTCTTCCATGTTAACATAGTTTCCCACATACAACATAACCTGCTGTTTATAAGGTTTCCAGATGACGAATGATTGAGCCGTAGAACTTTTGACGCAACCCACACCATGTGGGGTTCGAAGAATCCTAAGTAAACCACTGTAGCTCAGGAAGCAAAGTCGCGGTGTGTCGAAACTTTCACCCCCAGAAGTTCACTGGTTTCAAGATTGATAATGTTTCTATCGATGACAGCTTAGGGATAGAAATGAGAGCAGAGCAGTGTAGCATATCTTTCGTCACTTTAGCCCGTACATCGTTACGAAAACGAACCGTTGCAGTTCATTGAGATCAAATCATTACCACAGAATAAGCTCAAGAAAGTAACGTACATGAACAGAAGACGGTCCCCAGGGACGGCTCCTTTGAATGGTTGCACTGCTATCGCTTTACAGTACGGGCTGAAAACAAGAGGAGAGAATTCAGTGTGAAAACGCTTGTTCCTTTACAACTTTTCTGATTTTTTAATTTACTTTCGACACTTGTATTGTAACCTTCCTTAATGAGTAAAAATATAAAATTCTGTGCTGCAGAATGACGTACCTTGATGAAAGTAATAACGTCGTTCTAAACTCCATGTCTAACGGCACCATTTCCTTTTTAGGTCTTATTTCGTATTCGTCCTCACCATCTTGTTTGAAGTCTTCGTAAGGCTGAAGAATGATAAAGTGCGCTTTATGTTCCAAAGCAACTGTAGCAGTATTGATTATATTCTTTAACTGATCAATAATCGCCGCCACATCAGTTAAAGTAATGCTGAGGCTGAGAAGACAAACGTCGGAATTTCATTGTCCCACTAATACATATGAAGCAGGAACTTGGTGTCGGTCTTCTTTTGGATATATACGTTTTTGTAGGTTAGTCGGTTCGTCGGTTTGTTGACTCGTACATTTGTCCGTGTACTGCTCATCAAAAATTCCAACGATCATGGTAAGGGGAACCAACAGGAACAACCGTCGACAGAGGTGTCAACGACAAGGACGGAGCTCCAATGCTAGGTTGATGTAACGTTAGTGACAGCCATCACACCTGTATCGTCTGACGTCCAATTGATCATTAACCCTTTGACGACATTGCGGATTTCGACGTGACGCGCCCGTGGGACCATGCTCCCCTCTTTTTGCGCACGACTGGCACCCACCGTCGGGTTGCACTGTCCCAGGAGAAAGATCTTTTACGGGCTTACTGAATTTGGCAATTGCTAAGAAACAAGAGAGTATGGTGGCACCCGATATTGTGTGCCAATGTCCCATGCGCCAGTCGTAGTGGCACCCACCGGTGGGTGCCATTGTCGTCAAAGGGTTAACTAGACTCCTCTTCGGACAGTAAGGGTTTCCGGCTGAAGTCAAATCACTTTTATTCATATTACTGTTTTTTCTTGCCTTGATATTCTGTTCTTCTTCTGCTGTGCCGAATCTGTTATCAATTAGTAACAGCAGACAAGTAGAAGGCCACGGAACAGCTAATGGCTCACGTTACCTTACTGCGACGCATTTAGCCTCGACCAAGGTCAGCCATTATGCAAAGTGAAATCGACGCTCCAAAAGTGAAGAACGTGGGATTTGGCGCCTGCTATTTCGAACTCGGTAGTGGGTGTTTAGATAGGTAAGGGAGAGAGGTGTGTTACGTACCTGTCACCTTGCCAGTGCGGGCAACCTAGTAAAGGCACCCAACCAGTTATACCTGATCACTGAAACTATTATATCACCAAAAGATTGGCAACTTCCGACCTTGAACAAGAACATGAAGTGGTGCAAACAATTATAACAACAGCCTACAGCCTAATGTTAAGGTTTGCTGGCGGGTTGATCACTTTGTGCATGTGAGTGCTGATAAAGTCATGGCCTAAAAGTCATCAAGAAGGCGATGGCAAGTGGGGTTTCGGCAATTCAAGGGACAAAGAGCACGGTCTCCGTGTGGCACAAGTTCGGTTACTAGACACGTGCGATGGTGAAGTTCTGCATCTAATTCGCCAACGCAAGCCACAGTGGTGCAGTAGGAATGAAATTATTGCGTCGCGGCGAGAGAGACGTCGCGCGCGAAGGAATGTAGCAGAATGCAGCAGCAAGTAAGAAATACAGGAACAAAAGAACTAACAGTAGAATCAGCCGAAAAAAATAATCGCATAGCGATTGAGCTGTATGAAGAACGCTGGAAGTGTTACAATGAGGCCCAATGGTCCCCGACAGCCGCCTGCGGCGGATAGGTTACCCAAAATCGTTCCCACTTCATAAACAAGTTCAATCACCATGGCTGACAGCTACAGGAGTGGCTATCAGTTAGTCATGACGCGAGGATCGTGTCCAGTCAAGTAGTCACTGCACGGCTGATTCGGCCGGCGTTCATGGTTTTGGTTATTGATCGATATTGATTTGCAGCGTGTATGAGCAAGGTTTTGTTTTTCAAGCAAGACTTCTTTTTGCTTGTAAGGAATTGACACTTGAATGGTGTTAAGTCATCACAGAGAACTCACTAGGGACTGGAATGAGATCTTTCTGGGAAGCAACACAGGAGCTGTATTTTTCTGAACAAATCTCACCCTTCGAGGTGAATGGAGCACCTTTTAGTTTTTGTTGTCCAAATTTTTCTGCCTTTACGAGTGGCTTTAGGAATAACAGCAAG